CAGCTGAACTGTTCCACGAAGTGTTCAGTCCATCATTCTAATTGTTCAGTTGTGTCCACTTACTTGCAGACACATGCTTCCTCAAACCAACATCTGATTACTCTCAAAACACGTGCTCCGTAAGGAGTACCAATCTTCCAGATATAACTGTTAGCCACATGATCTATGTGTCCACTTGTGAGTCGACACTGGTGGTTGTGACGTCAGACAATGTATCTATTTAGGTCTGACGTGTGTACTGATCATAAATTGTTGATTATCTGAGCACATTTGTAGCAGTCGATCGCCGTTATCTGTTCATTCCGCTGAGATTCCGAAAGTACCACCTGCATGTCTTTCTGCCTAACTAAGTTTACCCGCTTGTACATTAGAACTGCGACAACTACATTTGAACATTTGGCTTTTAGTAAGCGATTAGACAGTTCTCGGTAGAACTTATCTTTCATTGCATCCAAACTGCAGTCAGTGGTTGCGAAAGCAGACATTCTGAAGAGACAAGAGTACACTTCGCTGCCTCTTGAATAAGAACTGTACCTATACCTGCGAAACCACAAAAACTAACCATCGAACCTCCAGAAATGCGAAGAGCAAATTTTATTGAGGTTAAGGCAATAACCACACTTGGGTCCTTTATGTATCGCTTACAAATATACCATAAACCCATGACCTGAGACTAGGAATGCTTTTCCAACAAATCGAGATGTTATTAAGGGCTATAGGGCTAGAAGAAATTAAACATGACGTATGAAAATTGACCAAGAGAAATGATTCAAGATTGTAAGGCCTAGGCTACGAAGGTTAGTAATGGTCTGATTGCTTACATAGCTGTTAGGGTAGATGACACTTTTCGGTTGCCTATACTGTGAAAGGTCACTTCCTCCTGAGATACATGAAGAAATTGCATCGGTAGCAGTGATGCTTGACTACCGAGCCCAAGGGAAATCCGCTCGGTGCCACTGACACAAGTCTTTTAGGAGTTTAAAACTTGACTGTCTCAAATCCAGTTGGCAGACTGAAACCTCTTGCACTGGAAAACCACAGGACAGGTGGAATTGTGCTAGTTTTGGGACTAATCTTTTCTACCCCCCTCCCTTCCAATACGGTGACAGCAGGAAACACCTGAGTGATGTCACATCCAATCCGACTGGCAGTACGACTTTGCCCTAAGATGTATATCATTGCACAGATATTTACACTAAAAAGGTAAGTGCTTTTTGTCGTACTCTACAACAGAACTTTCTAGGAGGGTAAGACCTCGAGGAACACACGTCCTCATCAGTATAGTTTGTTGAGTCAATGAAATTACCGAACATGACCACTACGTGGAGGTAGAAGAGTCATTTAATAGTACCTGGTGCACTCAACGTAGGACATCTAAAGACAGTGAACAGTAAATGATGCGAGATATGCGGACAATTCGACGCACAACCTTGTGTAAGGAAACGGTAAAGGAAGAAACGCAGAAGAACGTCTATGATGACAATTTGTACATTACTTATGAAATATTGTAATTTCACCATTGAAATATCCGTTTGGAAAATGTTTCATTTCTTCTTCCATCTCGTTTTGCTCTTGATACATCCACGTTATCTCTTGTGTTCCTCTATGCAGAATATTTATCCATTGCTAATTGCTATAACTTCTGCCAACATCACAACATATACTACTTGTATGCATTCTTATCAGTAGCACCGACTAAAAGTGTTTAAACGTGTATAAAGGCTTCAAACACAAGTTTCGATGGTGTAAACGACCCCTAAACAGGCATTTGATATTTGGGTGTTATACTAGCAACTTTCATCAACATTATGACACATTACGATGTTCTATACACTGTGGGTTTATATATACACTAAATAAGGCTTTTACGTAAATGGTACTTCATGAAAGAGACACTAGAGAGAGACAGAGGAAAAGATAAGAAATATGAGTTGTCGGCATCAGTCAACTTCTCCCAGATCTGACAGCTTAAAAGTCAATATGCAAAACAACCAATCCTGTAGACAACAGACTCAAGCTAATAAGAGAGATATAGTGATGAGGAATTTTTCTTCACAAAGAAACGATCATTCTATTTTGCTTAACTATGCAGGAACTAATCTAACCAAGGTAGATTTTTTAACCAACTAGAGTTGAACAGAAGAAATAGCGAGACTGGATGCATTTCTCACTTTCAATTCAGGATTGATCTGGACTCATTACTTAGTTGACAGTAGAAACTCAAACAGACAGATGCACACAAGTGCATCACTTCATGTTGCCACGAAAAGAGCAACCGGAGAGAAAAAGACTGAAATCCAACTAGACAAATGTGTATGACAGAAGGAATTTAAAAATGAAGGTTAATGGAAATGTTGAAGTTTTGGAAGACGTCACTGTGACTGATTTTCAGCCATTTTACCAAAGGTCCTCAACCACTGATTTCTATCGTCTTGAGGATCGCAGTCACGTAGTAAAAAATACCTCCCTACACGGCTCAGAACAAGAGTCAAAGACTCCATCGACTGGCGCCACGTTTTGGTCTAACCACCCTGAACCATCGTCAAACATAATCCAACTGCTAGCATTGCACACCGAAGCATACAAGCGGTCGCTTGGTGTGTGCGACGTACGTCCAAGCCACCTCATTTATTTGACGTTAATAATCTCGTTGGTAGACTTTCCTTCCTTACCTAGCACCCTTTGCCCAACGTCGACATTGATAACATGGTCTTTCCATCGTGTGCGAGAAATGCTACGAAGGCACCTATGGTCAGAAACCTGCTGCCTCTTCATATCTTCAACTTTCAATGACCATGTCTCGCAGCCGTGTAACAGGACAAAAGGAACTGCAGTCGGATATCTTATCTTATAGATGACGTGAGTTGGCCGAACGAGGTTACTATGTGTCAGCTGATATTTCGTCAGTAACCAGCCCCTTCGGGCTAATCCAACTTCCAAAATAAGTGAAGCGGTCGATGAGTCCAAACACTTCACTCCTTACATTTAAACTAGGAGTCAGTGCAGATCAGTCTTGAAGCATCGGGTGCGAAACGCATGTCAAACATGATCAGATTCCTATTAGAAATTAGTAACAGTAAAACTAACGTACCACGTGCAGCTTCGAGCGTAACACAATAAACCATATCTATTGAAAACAGGCTTACGTTATTATTCGGCTTCTTAGACACCAGTAGATGGAGCGGATTGAAACCCATGAACCATTTGATCAAAAGACAAGGGTCTGGAGTGATGATCAGCAAGAAGCCTAATATTGTAAACAGTCAAATAGTTCAGATCATTGATCATTTAACCTACCGATTAAACCAGATCACTCTTGATACATCAGTAGCTCATAAAATATCAAGACGGATACAAATACTCAAATGGTAAGATATCTAGCAGTCAATTGAATACTCCATTATAGACTTTAAACATTATCGCCCAAAGTGGAGAATACCAGGCTTCAGAAATTCGGCTACCGTTATTTTCAGGACATTGCCCACGTATGACGTAACTATCGCTTCAGCGATTGGGCACCGAGTTTTAGATAAAGAGGGTAATTCAACTCATAAAGTTGTAGACCTCTACCGACTAAGAGTGACTTAATCATATATCAAGCATAGCAAAGTATCGTTTACCCAGATTACTAATTTTACATAAAGTGATCAGACTAAACATGGCATCAATGCGTAAATTCCCTAACTATGAATCAAAGTTATTGTTGTGACCGAATGGAATTACGTGCGTGGGTACGATAATACTAAGACTCAATCGACACTTCAACCGAATATCGTTACGAGTAGCCTCCCTCAGTTCCTTCTACTTCCTGGCCTGTGACTGTAAGAACAACAACTTTATTAGACAAATACATAGTATGTATATATATATATATATATATATATATATATATATATATATATATATATATATATATATGGAAGTGGAGATGAATTGGGCATACACTGAGAAGCCCGACTGAGGGACATCATGCACCAAGCCCTCGAGTGGAACCCAGATGGAAAACGACGAGTTGGGCGTCCCAGCTGAGGGCGATATGGAGATCGTGTGAGGAAGAAATGAGAGCTTCTGGGTTGTCATGGAACCAGGTTCAAAAGATGGTAGATAACAGAGTGCACTGGAGACGTGCTACTGAAGCCCTATGTTCCATTAGGAACCCAAGGGACAAATATATATATATATATATATATATATATATATATATATATATATATATATGTAAAAGGCCAATCCGATCGGTCGTTTGACGACGAATCTGTCCAACCAAGTTACTATGTCAGTACATGCATAAATCATGATCTGAAAACAATTTCTCTTTTGGCTGCCTTTTTGCCACTACCTATCAGTTATGTTAAAGAAATGCTAGCTTCCCAGTTGGGTTCTGAGAGACAACTAAGACAGATAGTTGGAGACAGATAAGCCGATAAAATCAACGTAGAATCCAGCATACAAGTGCATCGATCCAAGCTGACACACTTCCCAGTAACATACGAAGAATAGACTGATAGCAAAGCAAACAAAGACGCATAGTAGGAGGAGTTTAAAAATGAAAGTCAGTCAAGACATTCAAGCTTTAGAAGACATCAAAGAGTGAATACATTTGCATCACTGTGATCGATTTTCAGCCATTTCACCAACAGTCCTCAACCAGTGATGGCTATCGTCTTCTGAGGGACTCCAGCCAGACCAAGAACAACAGGAAGGAGTTTCATGCACTGGTGCCATCTCTTAGTCTTCCCACTTTCAGTCCTCTTCCAACTTAATCTCACTTCCCTCACCACTGCACGTCCAGAATGTTAAGAGATGCTAACAAGGGACTCCAAATTGACTGTAGTACCAAAGATGCGCATACCATATTTCGTTATTTCCATGAGGTGTTAATTAGCATTGCTAGACCCTAGTGTCTATCTTAAACAAGTAACATTTACAATAATAAGCATCATCACAGTCGTCAAGCACATACAGGCACATATCTCTGCAATACAATGAATAAATCTTCATTCAATCGTTAAATAACCTCATTTATTCCACAGTATATAAATATTACAATAGTGATATTAGTAGCATTAATAATTATTATTTGTAAAGAATAATTTATGAGTAAATAAATCAGACAGGGACAAGAACACTTGAACACAGCAGCAGCAGGCACACACGCTCTAGTAAAACAACCCAAAAATTAAACCAAAAAAAGATGCACAGAATATTTTACCATGATTATTATGAAACAAAAAAAAATCACAGGAAGGAAATAAAGCGCTTAAAAATAAAATTTAATTCTTCACACGAACACCGATTTCTCCATGGTTTAAATTTATGAATAATGTTTCCTTTCAATACTAACTACCGGTTTGTCACCACACAAATGTGTGTGTGTGTGTGTGTGTGTGTGTTTATGAAACCAAAATCACGTGACAAGCACTCATTATTAAATGCGAAGCGAAAACGGACATCTCTTCAATCAATACATGTGTACAGGTAGTAGTAGTAGTAGTAGTAGTAGTAGTAGTAGTAGTAGTAGTAGTAGTAGTAGTAGTAGTAGTAGTAGTAGTAGTAGTAGTAGTAGTAGTAGTAGTAGTAGTAGTAGTAGTAGTAGTAGTAGTAGTAGTAGTAGTAGTAGTAGTAGTAGTAGTAGTAGTAGTAGTAGTAGTAGTAGTAGTAGTAGTAGTAGTAGTAGTAGTAGTAGTAGTAGTAGTAGTAGTAGTAGTAGTAGTAGTAGTAGTAGTAGTAGTAGTAGTAGTAGTAGTAGTAGTAGTAGTAGTAGTAGTAGTAGTAGTAGTAGTAGTAGTAGTAGTAGTAGTAGTAGTAGTAGTAGTAGTAGTAGTAGTAGTAGTAGTAGTAGTAGTAGTAGTAGTAGTAGTAGTAGTAGTAGTAGTAGTAGTAGTAGTAGTAGTAGTAGTAGTAGTAGTAGTAGTAGTAGTAGTAGTAGTAGTAGTAGTAGTAGTAGTAGTAGTAGTAGTAGTAGTAGTAGTAGTAGTAGTAGTAGTAGTAGTAGTAGTAGTAGTAGTAGTAGTAGTAGTAGTAGTAGTAGTAGTAGTAGTAGTAGTAGTAGTAGTAGTAGTAGTAGTAGTAGTAGTAGTAGTAGTAGTAGTAGTAGTAGTAGTAGTAGTAGTAGTAGTAGTAGTAGTAGTAGTAGTAGTAGTAGTAGTAGTAGTAGTAGTAGTAGTAGTAGTAGTAGTAGTAGTAGTAGTAGTAGTAGTAGTAGTAGTAGTAGTAGTAGTAGTAGTAGTAGTAGTAGTAGTAGTAGTAGTAGTAGTAGTAGTAGTAGTAGTAGTAGTAGTAGTAGTAGTAGTAGTAGTAGTAGTAGTAGTAGTAGTAGTAGTAGTAGTAGTAGTAGTAGTAGTAGTAGTAGTAGTAGTAGTAGTAGTAGTAGTAGTAGTAGTAGTAGTAGTAGTAGTAGTAGTAGTAGTAGTAGTAGTAGTAGTAGTAGTAGTAGTAGTAGTAGTAGTAGTAGTAGTAGTAGTAGTAGTAGTAGTAGTAGTAGTAGTAGTAGTAGTAGTAGTAGTAGTAGTAGTAGTAGTAGTAGTAGTAGTAGTAGTAGTAGTAGTAGTAGTAGTAGTAGTAGTAGTAGTAGTAGTAGTAGTAGTAGTAGTAGTAGTAGTAGTAGTAGTAGTAGTAGTAGTAGTAGTAGTAGTAGTAGTAGTAGTAGTAGTAGTAGTAGTAGTAGTAGTAGTAGTAGTAGTAGTAGTAGTAGTAGTAGTAGTAGTAGTAGTAGTAGTAGTAGTAGTAGTAGTAGTAGTAGTAGTAGTAGTAGTAGTAGTAGTAGTAGTAGTAGTAGTAGTAGTAGTAGTAGTAGTAGTAGTAGTAGTAGTAGTAGTAGTAGTAGTAGTAGTAGTAGTAGTAGTAGTAGTAGTAGTAGTAGTAGTAGTAGTAGTAGTAGTAGTAGTAGTAGTAGTAGTAGTAGTAGTAGTAGTAGTAGTAGTAGTAGTAGTAGTAGTAGTAGTAGTAGTAGTAGTAGTAGTAGTAGTAGTAGTAGTAGTAGTAGTAGTAGTAGTAGTAGTAGTAGTAGTAGTAGTAGTAGTAGTAGTAGTAGTAGTAGTAGTAGTAGTAGTAGTAGTAGTAGTAGTAGTAGTAGTAGTAGTAGTAGTAGTAGTAGTAGTAGTAGTAGTAGTAGTAGTAGTAGTAGTAGTAGTAGTAGTAGTAGTAGTAGTAGTAGTAGTAGTAGTAGTAGTAGTAGTAGTAGTAGTAGTAGTAGTAGTAGTAGTAGTAGTAGTAGTAGTAGTAGTAGTAGTAGTAGTAGTAGTAGTAGTAGTAGTAGTAGTAGTAGTAGTAGTAGTAGTAGTAGTAGTAGTAGTAGTAGTAGTAGTAGTAGTAGTAGTAGTAGTAGTAGTAGTAGTAGTAGTAGTAGTAGTAGTAGTAGTAGTAGTAGTAGTAGTAGTAGTAGTAGTAGTAGTAGTAGTAGTAGTAGTAGTAGTAGTAGTAGTAGTAGTAGTAGTAGTAGTAGTAGTAGTAGTAGTAGTAGTAGTAGTAGTAGTAGTAGTAGTAGTAGTAGTAGTAGTAGTAGTAGTAGTAGTAGTAGTAGTAGTAGTAGTAGTAGTAGTAGTAGTAGTAGTAGTAGTAGTAGTAGTAGTAGTAGTAGTAGTAGTAGTAGTAGTAGTAGTAGTAGTAGTAGTAGTAGTAGTAGTAGTAGTAGTAGTAGTAGTAGTAGTAGTAGTAGTAGTAGTAGTAGTAGTAGTAGTAGTAGTAGTAGTAGTAGTAGTAGTAGTAGTAGTAGTAGTAGTAGTAGTAGTAGTAGTAGTAGTAGTAGTAGTAGTAGTAGTAGTAGTAGTAGTAGTAGTAGTAGTAGTAGTAGTAGTAGTAGTAGTAGTAGTAGTAGTAGTAGTAGTAGTAGTAGTAGTAGTAGTAGTAGTAGTAGTAGTAGTAGTAGTAGTAGTAGTAGTAGTAGTAGTAGTAGTAGTAGTAGTAGTAGTAGTAGTAGTAGTAGTAGTAGTAGTAGTAGTAGTAGTAGTAGTAGTAGTAGTAGTAGTAGTAGTAGTAGTAGTAGTAGTAGTAGTAGTAGTAGTAGTAGTAGTAGTAGTAGTAGTAGTAGTAGTAGTAGTAGTAGTAGTAGTAGTAGTAGTAGTAGTAGTAGTAGTAGTAGTAGTAGTAGTAGTAGTAGTAGTAGTAGTAGTAGTAGTAGTAGTAGTAGTAGTAGTAGTAGTAGTAGTAGTAGTAGTAGTAGTAGTAGTAGTAGTAGTAGTAGTAGTAGTAGTAGTAGTAGTAGTAGTAGTAGTAGTAGTAGTAGTAGTAGTAGTAGTAGTAGTAGTAGTAGTAGTAGTAGTAGTAGTAGTAGTAGTAGTAGTAGTAGTAGTAGTAGTAGTAGTAGTAGTAGTAGTAGTAGTAGTAGTAGTAGTAGTAGTAGTAGTAGTAGTAGTAGTAGTAGTAGTAGTAGTAGTAGTAGTAGTAGTAGTAGTAGTAGTAGTAGTAGTAGTAGTAGTAGTAGTAGTAGTAGTAGTAGTAGTAGTAGTAGTAGTAGTAGTAGTAGTAGTAGTAGTAGTAGTAGTAGTAGTAGTAGTAGTAGTAGTAGTAGTAGTAGTAGTAGTAGTAGTAGTAGTAGTAGTAGTAGTAGTAGTAGTAGTAGTAGTAGTAGTAGTAGTAGTAGTAGTAGTAGTAGTAGTAGTAGTAGTAGTAGTAGTAGTAGTAGTAGTAGTAGTAGTAGTAGTAGTAGTAGTAGTAGTAGTAGTAGTAGTAGTAGTAGTAGTAGTAGTAGTAGTAGTAGTAGTAGTAGTAGTAGTAGTAGTAGTAGTAGTAGTAGTAGTAGTAGTAGTAGTAGTAGTAGTAGTAGTAGTAGTAGTAGTAGTAGTAGTAGTAGTAGTAGTAGTAGTAGTAGTAGTAGTAGTAGTAGTAGTAGTAGTAGTAGTAGTAGTAGTAGTAGTAGTAGTAGTAGTAGTAGTAGTAGTAGTAGTAGTAGTAGTAGTAGTAGTAGTAGTAGTAGTAGTAGTAGTAGTAGTAGTAGTAGTAGTAGTAGTAGTAGTAGTAGTAGTAGTAGTAGTAGTAGTAGTAGTAGTAGTAGTAGTAGTAGTAGTAGTAGTAGTAGTAGTAGTAGTAGTAGTAGTAGTAGTAGTAGTAGTAGTAGTAGTAGTAGTAGTAGTAGTAGTAGTAGTAGTAGTAGTAGTAGTAGTAGTAGTAGTAGTAGTAGTAGTAGTAGTAGTAGTAGTAGTAGTAGTAGTAGTAGTAGTAGTAGTAGTAGTAGTAGTAGTAGTAGTAGTAGTAGTAGTAGTAGTAGTAGTAGTAGTAGTAGTAGTAGTAGTAGTAGTAGTAGTAGTAGTAGTAGTAGTAGTAGTAGTAGTAGTAGTAGTAGTAGTAGTAGTAGTAGTAGTAGTAGTAGTAGTAGTAGTAGTAGTAGTAGTAGTAGTAGTAGTAGTAGTAGTAGTAGTAGTAGTAGTAGTAGTAGTAGTAGTAGTAGTAGTAGTAGTAGTAGTAGTAGTAGTAGTAGTAGTAGTAGTAGTAGTAGTAGTAGTAGTAGTAGTAGTAGTAGTAGTAGTAGTAGTAGTAGTAGTAGTAGTAGTAGTAGTAGTAGTAGTAGTAGTAGTAGTAGTAGTAGTAGTAGTAGTAGTAGTAGTAGTAGTAGTAGTAGTAGTAGTAGTAGTAGTAGTAGTAGTAGTAGTAGTAGTAGTAGTAGTAGTAGTAGTAGTAGTAGTAGTAGTAGTAGTAGTAGTAGTAGTAGTAGTAGTAGTAGTAGTAGTAGTAGTAGTAGTAGTAGTAGTAGTAGTAGTAGTAGTAGTAGTAGTAGTAGTAGTAGTAGTAGTAGTAGTAGTAGTAGTAGTAGTAGTAGTAGTAGTAGTAGTAGTAGTAGTAGTAGTAGTAGTAGTAGTAGTAGTAGTAGTAGTAGTAGTAGTAGTAGTAGTAGTAGTAGTAGTAGTAGTAGTAGTAGTAGTAGTAGTAGTAGTAGTAGTAGTAGTAGTAGTAGTAGTAGTAGTAGTAGTAGTAGTAGTAGTAGTAGTAGTAGTAGTAGTAGTAGTAGTAGTAGTAGTAGTAGTAGTAGTAGTAGTAGTAGTAGTAGTAGTAGTAGTAGTAGTAGTAGTAGTAGTAGTAGTAGTAGTAGTAGTAGTAGTAGTAGTAGTAGTAGTAGTAGTAGTAGTAGTAGTAGTAGTAGTAGTAGTAGTAGTAGTAGTAGTAGTAGTAGTAGTAGTAGTAGTAGTAGTAGTAGTAGTAGTAGTAGTAGTAGTAGTAGTAGTAGTAGTAGTAGTAGTAGTAGTAGTAGTAGTAGTAGTAGTAGTAGTAGTAGTAGTAGTAGTAGTAGTAGTAGTAGTAGTAGTAGTAGTAGTAGTAGTAGTAGTAGTAGTAGTAGTAGTAGTAGTAGTAGTAGTAGTAGTAGTAGTAGTAGTAGTAGTAGTAGTAGTAGTAGTAGTAGTAGTAGTAGTAGTAGTAGTAGTAGTAGTAGTAGTAGTAGTAGTAGTAGTAGTAGTAGTAGTAGTAGTAGTAGTAGTAGTAGTAGTAGTAGTAGTAGTAGTAGTAGTAGTAGTAGTAGTAGTAGTAGTAGTAGTAGTAGTAGTAGTAGTAGTAGTAGTAGTAGTAGTAGTAGTAGTAGTAGTAGTAGTAGTAGTAGTAGTAGTAGTAGTAGTAGTAGTAGTAGTAGTAGTAGTAGTAGTAGTAGTAGTAGTAGTAGTAGTAGTAGTAGTAGTAGTAGTAGTAGTAGTAGTAGTAGTAGTAGTAGTAGTAGTAGTAGTAGTAGTAGTAGTAGTAGTAGTAGTAGTAGTAGTAGTAGTAGTAGTAGTAGTAGTAGTAGTAGTAGTAGTAGTAGTAGTAGTAGTAGTAGTAGTAGTAGTAGTAGTAGTAGTAGTAGTAGTAGTAGTAGTAGTAGTAGTAGTAGTAGTAGTAGTAGTAGTAGTAGTAGTAGTAGTAGTAGTAGTAGTAGTAGTAGTAGTAGTAGTAGTAGTAGTAGTAGTAGTAGTAGTAGTAGTAGTAGTAGTAGTAGTAGTAGTAGTAGTAGTAGTAGTAGTAGTAGTAGTAGTAGTAGTAGTAGTAGTAGTAGTAGTAGTAGTAGTAGTAGTAGTAGTAGTAGTAGTAGTAGTAGTAGTAGTAGTAGTAGTAGTAGTAGTAGTAGTAGTAGTAGTAGTAGTAGTAGTAGTAGTAGTAGTAGTAGTAGTAGTAGTAGTAGTAGTAGTAGTAGTAGTAGTAGTAGTAGTAGTAGTAGTAGTAGTAGTAGTAGTAGTAGTAGTAGTAGTAGTAGTAGTAGTAGTAGTAGTAGTAGTAGTAGTAGTAGTAGTAGTAGTAGTAGTAGTAGTAGTAGTAGTAGTAGTAGTAGTAGTAGTAGTAGTAGTAGTAGTAGTAGTAGTAGTAGTAGTAGTAGTAGTAGTAGTAGTAGTAGTAGTAGTAGTAGTAGTAGTAGTAGTAGTAGTAGTAGTAGTAGTAGTAGTAGTAGTAGTAGTAGTAGTAGTAGTAGTAGTAGTAGTAGTAGTAGTAGTAGTAGTAGTAGTAGTAGTAGTAGTAGTAGTAGTAGTAGTAGTAATAGGACAGCGAACCAACTTACAAACACCTGGAGGACAGACACTGTCAGCCAATGATAAATAGGTACAGACAGATAGATAGACAGACATATACAATGTTTACAGACATACAGTTAGTTCAGTAATCAAAGTGCTGATTTTCTTATTTTAAGTATCTCTCTCTTTTACGACATGAAAATAATTTTTGAGTTGAAATAAAGAAGATGGAGAGAAGCTGAGATTACAATTTTGAAAAAATTAAACAAAACTCAGAATAATATAATGTACATGTGTACATGAATAGCAGTTTGTAAACCTACTCATATATTTATACAGATAAGAAGTAATAATCATAAAGCATTTTTTCTTAATAAAGGAATCTGAATGTTATGGCGCATCATCTACACCAAGGAAGGCTTATTAGGTTTATATATATATATATATATATATATATATATATATATATATATATATATATATATATTCATTAATAACTAGCTGACGAACCGGAAGAACTATCTGTCTCGATAGTGGTAGCGAAAAGATGTTTTTCATGATAAGCACCGCTAGAATGTTGATGATTATTGATCAGATGAGTTTGTGATGGGATCAATTTGCTGTTAGCATCATCATCGTCATCACAATGATAACTAAACGTGTTTATCTCGTCGTTTATTGGAGCTGTGACAGAGCAGTTTACATTATGAATAGTGTTTGAAACAGCAGTATAATACTTAGGATAAGGCTTGAAAATATATGCACATGGTATTAACCAGGAATACAATGGACCTGTAGTTGAAAAAGGGAAAAAGTGTACAAAATTACCTAGCTAAATACTGGGCTTGCGATTTCAAACAACATATTACAAGAAATTTAATTGTACGATATATATATGATAACAAATGCATTATTGATCTTGATGACTAGCAGAGGAATTCAGGATGCGTGTTTCGTCCCATTTACGAGTCGTCAGCCACTGGATAACGCTCTGGCGTTTGAAACGAACGTTACTGGGTTCGAGCCTCAGTCGCAACAACATCATTCACTGAGGTGCAGGTATATCTAGTTGATGAGACCTGGACGGGACGAAACGTGCGTACTGAATTGCTCTGCTAGTCACCAAGATTATGAATATCCGGCAGCATCGCGGCATCCACACAGGAGCCCATCTGCGAACACAGATCGAGCAATTCGACCTTGTAGAAATTACAGGTATAATTACAACAAATGCATTAATCCAACTAAAGTAACCGAGGAAGACGAAGTGTATAGGGGTATTGACACACTTCACAGTAGCATGTAAAGAACAAGTGAACACAGAAAGACTGACCTCAAAACAACCAAAAGTATTTCAGAGAGAGATTAAGGTTACTGTGAATATATATAAACTTTAGAAGATACCGATGAATGAATACATCTGCGCCACTGTCACCGATTTTCAACCATGTCATCAACAGTTCATAACCGCACTGATTCCTTTTGTTTTGGGGACCCCAATCAGATAGTGTTAGTCTCTTCCAACACAGCTGAAATCAACAGTCAAGGACTTGAGCGACTGGTGCTATGAAAAACTTCAAAAACTTAAATGACACATTTATGAACTCTTCTACAAGATACTTCGCTAAGCAAAATCCAGGAATAATCAATATGCTCCGCTTTATAGATTCATGGCTTTCAGTAATACTTCATTGTTTCCAGTATAATGGGCGTAAATGACTTTGAAAAACGATACCAGTTTATTCTATTATATAAAAATTTTTGATTTATTCAAAATTATCATAAGAACAAAATATAGGAAAAACTGGAAGGATGCTTCAATCACTTATTACCTAATGAAGACATGCTCACACCACTACTGCAGAAGGTTTGAAAAGAAGGGAAGATACCTATCACTTGGAAAAAGAGCTACCTAGTCAAACTTCCAAAGAAGGGAGACCTAAGTCTTTGCAAAAACTGACACAGAATCATGCTCTGTAACGCGCCAAATCTCTCAACCATCACACAGAAGTACTGACTTAGTGTTGAAAATCCGGATCTTGTTGTTTATGCTGAGTACAGTGTAGTAGATCTCCACGTTGATTTCAGATTGATGAAGGTTTATTTCGCTGTCTTTCCGATCCTGGCTTTGGTATTCTTATGTGTGGTTGTGCCACCTGTAGTTGAAACGATGCTGCCTATGTGGATAGGTGAAAGAGACAACTTCGTTTCTATTTCTCCCGTTGATGGTGATTGATGCTTGTTGGATGAGTATCTCCATCACCTCTATCTTCTCTACGTTCACTTGAAGCAAGTCCCGTCTTAGTTGCCTCGCCTTACCTCTTTTACTAACTTGTTAGCTTTCGTTTGTAGATCTTCGAGTTTATGCAACAATACGTTAGACATAAATTATTATGGGCGAAATCCAAATATTCTTCTGCGGTCTTTCCATCGGTTCAGTCAGCATATGCCCTTTTTATCGCTCCTCACAGTTCGTTGCATGATCCAGTCCAGTCCAGTCGACCACAATCAGGAAGATGATCGGCGACAGTAGGTAAACTTGTCTTTAAAGATGTCACTTAGCTTTCCATCGTGAATCACTCGGCATGTAGCATCATCATATAGCATATAGCTGTTGAATGAGGTTGATAAAGGTTTGTGGCACTAAAACTGTAGCGTCGAAGTAGTTTCCAAATTAATTCTTGTTCGATGCCTCAATCGAAGGTCTTTTCAAAGTCGATGAAGTTTAGGTAAAGAGTTGAGTTGATTGCCCTTCTATGCTCTGTTCTATGATAATGCGTAGCGTTGCAATTTGATTCGCACATGATTTGTTCTTCCTAAATCCAGCCAGCCTCTTCTGGTCGTAATTTTGAATGCAGAGCTTTTTTCAGCTTCCTTAGGATGATGCAGCTTAATATGGTAACGTTATTAGAGAAGCATAATACACTAGACGTAAGCGACGTTATATAATCTCATAACAACTAGACGTACAGTTCATAGTTTCGTGCACAAGGCAGTATAACCACTTCTCACAGAATGTATTACCCCCGTTGTCAGTTGGTTGGAGGCAATTAGCAGGAAGCTCTGCTTGATCTGGTTTTTGTGCTTGTTGGTACTCATGAGCAAGGCGTATCTGCAAAGTCGACGGAACCGATGACCCTTGTAAGATTCGAACCCAGTGTTGTAGTTAGATAATTTACCACTGAGCTATTTGAGGTGCGATTGACATCCTGTAGGATTGGATGACATGCATTGATTACCTCTAACGATTGTTTACAACCAACTGACATCTATTAATGTGCACCACAATGCTCAGTCTCCTAGCTTAGTGAACACATTGCAAATATAATCGATAGGATTCGGTCTGCACTCAGGAATAAACAACATGACGTCAGTTGCATTCCCATGACTAATCAATGAATATGATTCCCTTGGTTAAGTGGTCGAATCTACAGGCAGTTAATATACTCACCTGAAGTTACTCTTCATGTGAATGTAGTTCTGCTCGATGAACAGTTATTCCTGAATTCATTATAAATATATAAATGTCAATCTATGACGAATACTACCTTCAAAATAAAATCCCTATAAGCTTCAAACTGCATCATTGTGATATCCTTCAAGATGAATATTCCGAAGTTCTAATGAGAAATCATGACGTGTAGTGCGTCAACCAGCCAGAAGTGAGACGGATATCAACTGAAGACCACAGTGGATAGTTACGCTGTCATGAATTGATAAAAGTAAAAAAAAACTGTGAACTATTGAACTCCAACTAATTCGTTGAATAATTAAGGCGTTCACAGCGAGTCCTGAAGGTCCTACGTTCGACCTGGTGACGGGGGTCTTGGGTACGCACTGCTGAAGAGCCCCATGCCGAGATGAAACAGCTGTCCACAGCTCACAGGTTTCTGAATATTTCTCCCACTGATGTCAGTCTGTGATGAATAAAACCTTAAAAAATAAAATCCTCAGGCACTAAAAAATACATTATTGTATTGTGCTCATTATATCAGGTGGACTGATATTCGATGATGTGTGATATATGGGCAGTTGTTTTCTTCAAAGTACTACCGAAACAAAGACTATTTATTTCATGACTTGAAACACTAACTACCTATCTTATACATCGAAGCTATTGGACAAGAAACATCATATTTACCATATACAAAAACTATCTGTTAGAACCATAAAATACTAACTAGTCAGTTAAAACCATAGTATGAACATGTAATTACAAAACAAAATTTATCAGAATAATTATTCAACACTAACCATTGCCAAATACTTCACGAAAAAGAGTTAATTTGGATAATTTCCGTCGAAATCCACCATTACCAGCTGGTGTACATGCTTCAGTATCTGATGAATGAGAAGTAGCACGTAACTGCCAGGCTTCAACAGCTGTTGTATCTTCAACAATCGACTTGTACTAAAAAAAAAACATATTGTATCATGTTTTTTTTTCCAAAGGAATGGATAAAGGTGGATGATAATGAAATAAGCGAAATGTTGTTATTAAGATGATAGACAGTTTATAAGCAATACAGGATATATCATCCAACCCATCGAACAACATCGTCACATCAAGAAAGAATTCAACAATACCAAAAATAAAGCAATGAAAAAACAATGGATTTATTTGTACCACTGTGATTAATATTTTAAACAATTTTTTTTTTGACGAAAGTCTTCAACCCTCTACATCTTAGATGTATGGCTCACCGATTTCAGTCAGAGGTTTATGGGTCTCCGATAAACGACTAAGACTAGCCAAAAGACACTTCATGAACTGTTGTTAAGTCTTTTCAATTACTAGTATAGTGTGTTATACAATAGACGGTAGGTGGGCATGTGTACTAAGGAAATATTAAGACATCCATGCAGGAGCTCGTGTACCAATAGTAACCGATTGCTCACTCACTCAGATGATAACTCCTACGGTTTCTTCAAGAGCTATCTTTGTGAATAAAAAGGTCACATCAAAAGGCTAACATATACTCTCCACATACATTCAGTTAATTTAACACATTGAATTGAATCTCCAAGTCCAAAATTTTGGCAAACAGGTCTCAACTTATCCGCTAGCCAACGACTAACTTTATGGCAAGGTGAATTAATAATTGACAGACAAGCATCTCAGGGCTTCACATCGTTGTATGTAGGATTTTAGATCAGCTCTTAGGTAGAAGCTCTTCAAGTACTATCATGATTTTTTTTTCCTCTGGAATTTGCCATATACTTTTCAAAGTTACCAATTCTGAATCTGCAAAGGCCCTTGAGAACCGATTTAATTTTTGTAACACATAATTGTACTAGTCTAGTAGCGTAATACTTAAAACCTTTATCTGGTCATAGCACCACATCGTATTGTCAGTCTTTAGATGTTTAATTGCTACTTGATGCTACTTGATTTGGACAAAAATTTCAACTTTGAAGTTGGTACGTTAAGGTTTTAGCTGGTAAATTTTGGCAAGTCTAGACTTGAAACATCTTTTTTTCTGACCTCATTTTCAACTTAAGCTTGTTTTAGTGTTATTGCTTGTATTACACCGTCGTTGATAGGACCGAATTGATCGGTCTCTGTTGGCATATGGGCTCCTATGCGGATGCCTCGATATAGTCTATCTTTTAACTATGTTTAGTAATGATGGGCAGTGGCTAGCAGTAAAATCCAGGACTCGGACTCGGTGGGAACAACACTCACTGGGAAGCAGGTACATCCAGCTGACGAGTCCCAAATAGGACGAAATGTGCATCCTGGATTCTACTGATAGCCACTGCCCATCATTATTAAGCTTGTTTTATCATTGAATCACTAATAGTTGAAAGTTTACTTTAGCTTTCTATTTCCTACCCTCTGTGAATCAAAACAACAACAGCCTTATTTTTCCTCATTCAATTGCATGCTAAAACAGTACAGCTAATGGCATAGGTATGTTTGCCATATACTTTTCAAAGTTACCAATTCTGAATCTGCAAAGGCCCTTGAGAACCGATTTAATTTTTGTAACACATAATTGTACTAGTCTAGTAGCGTAATACTTAAAACCTTTATCTGGTCATAGCACCACATCGTATTGTCAGTCTTTAGATGTTTAATTGCTACTTGATGCTACTTGATTTGGACAAAAATTTCAACTTTGAAGTTGGTACGTTAAGGTTTTAGCTGGTAAATTTTGGCAAGTCTAGACTTGAAACATCTTTTTTTCTGACCTCATTTTCAACTTAAGCTTGTTTTAGTGTTATTGCTTGTATTACACCGTCGTTGATAGGACCGAATTGATCGGTCTCTGTTGGCATATGGGCTCCTATGCGGATGCCTCGATATAGTCTATCTTTTAACTATGTTTAGTAATGATGGGCAGTGGCTAGCAGTAAAATCCAGGACTCGGACTCGGTGGGAACAACACTCACTGGGAAGCAGGTACATCCAGCTGACGAGTCCCAAATAGGACGAAATGTGCATCCTGGATTCTACTGATAGCCACTGCCCATCATTATTAAGCTTGTTTTATCATTGAATCACTAATAGTTGAAAGTTTACTTTAGCTTTCTATTTCCTACCCTCTGTGAATCAAAACAACAACAGCCTTATTTTTCCTCATTCAATTGCATGCTAAAACAGTACAGCTAATGGCATAGGTATGTTTAAAAATGCCTAAGAATTTGTTGACTATTTGTCAAACTTCATACTGCCGCCGATTAATTGTGTACGTTATATGAAAGCTAGACCATAATTACCTCGTCTCGGTCACATCTTCGCATACAATAGACTGTTTTATGTCAGTAATGATCTTGAATGTAGATATTCCTTATATATATCCATATAGGTATTCATATAGTTAGACAGGCCGCCATTCGATCAGTGAGTAGATTTTATCAAGTTGTAAGTAGGAGTATTCATAAATCTCAGAAGTCTAGTCCATCTAGTGTTTAGATAACGAGACGTTATTACAATAATTTCCACCCTACTGAGACCTGTAGTCCACAAAATAAAATGTAACCCAATAGTAACGTCAGTGTTCATGTAGTACGGGGACAAACAACACCTATTGTGACAGATCTAACGACACTATCTGGCTGCGTAGACCTTAAGTAGGTGGAGCAGAGTTTGAGTATATGCCCCATTGGTATCTTCGTAGCATTGCTCATATATGGTGGAATTACCACGTTAGCAATACTAAGGTCAGGCAAAAGGTACAAGGTAACCCAGGCAAGTCAATTGATGAAGTTGTGAATTTCGGTTGCTTGGACATGTGTTGTGCTGCGCATGCCGAGTGACCACCTACCTCAACGTGCAACGTTAGGCCACATTTAATTAGGTCCCAGGAAAACTCAAAGTGACCAAGCCAATAAGTGGCACCAGTCAACGAAGTCTCCGTTGTTCTGAGCCGCGTTGGGAGATCCCCGAGACGATTAGAATCAGTGGTTGTGGACTCTTGGTGATATGCTTGAAAATCGGTCACAATGGCTCCGATACACTTACTATTCGACGTCTTCTAAAGCTTGAGTGTTTTGACAAACCTTAATTTTAAAATTTCATCTCTCCTATTACACCTTTGTCTGTCTGTAAGTTTTTTTCTACCCACTTGTTCTTTGTATGCTACTTAAACCGATTCACTTGCATGAGAGGTTGTATGCTGATATTTCCTCTGTATGACATGCTCGATTGATTGAATTACGGCAAACCTAGACTAATAAGCCAGTTTTTCAAGTCACAGTCACCACAGTAGTAACAGAGACTAGGGATATACATATTTAAAGTGAAGAAAAGGTGTCAGTTTACCACAGATTTTATTCAGATATTAAGACATTGGTATTTCCCATACAACTACATATACAACAGTGGTAACACTGTAGCGGCTAATCAGTTGTGATATCATCATAATTCTCACAAACATCATCAGTGGATTTGTCAAACTAAAGCCATCATAACAATTCGGGTGATTGAGTAAACATTAATTCTTTAATTCAGTGATGAGCACAGTTCATTAACAAATTTCCACTTACAACTAATCATAAGTATTAAACTAACTCAGTTTGCTAAATATTCATGTATTAGATGATGAATGAAGGCGACGATGTCAGAGGGAATTTGTGGTACTAATTGATTGCTTCAACTGAAGAAGACGATGGAGGATTTGAACTGGGGACCCATTGCTTGGAGTTGTGGCTCACCGGTCTAGGGAGATAAATTTCATCTGATGGGTCGCGGGTTCGAACCCCTCTCCACCTACCAACATTTAGGTAGCCAGGTATTATCACTAGCCCTCCCATAATAGATGTGTTCCATTGAGTACTGAATGAACGTGTAAGTTGATTGCTGAGTCCAATCCATTTTCCCATATTTCTTAAAAATCAAACAGTTAGGTCAGTTAATCACATATCTGAAATCTAATTCATTCTTAGTTCAGTCCTTCTCGAATGTTGACTTCTTATCAAGTGCATTTGATCGAGTCAAAATCGAACTTCAGAATGTATTCATGACATAGGAAATGTTTCCACAACTTAATGCCAAAATTTTGATTTTATAGCCTAGTAAATCTCCGACTTGAATGGATCGAATTGATCAGCCTCTGTTGGCGTATGGGCTCCTGTGGAGATGCCTTGAAACTCCTGAATATGCATTATGTTGTATTCATATCAATGACTAGGAGTGGAATCCAGGATGTGCATTTTGTGCTATTTAGGACTTATTGGTCAGCTGAATATACCTCCCTCCCTCTCAGTGAGTGATGCTGTCCCACTAGAATTCGAACCTGGAATCAATCACCGATCGATTTGGTTCAGACAACGATGGAGATTCATAAGCTATAATATTAGAACTATGCTATACCCCAGTGAACAATGCTCTGGGATTTGAAGCGATTGGTCCTGGGGACCATATCACACAGAGGCAGGTACGATGCAACTGACGAGTCCCGAGTAGGACGAAACGTGCATCGTGGATTCTACTGTTAACCACTATCTATCATTAGTGCTCAAGTAACTATAGAGATTAAGGCTGTAAATGTAGCTGACACTACGGAATACACTGATGTGTATGGAATCCAAGTGACAAGGTATTTGTACTCAGTTGACTCATTTAAAGTTAATCTTTTGTATTTCAAAAGAATTTACACTGTCAACCAGCCGTAGATAAAGTTTTGGCTTATTGGCTTAGGTAGTTGAGTCATGGGTTCAAATACCATACCACTCCATCTACCAAGTTAGTTTGGGCGTCCAGGTAGTGTCATTAGACCTCACACATTAAGTATGGCTCATTACCATCTACTACATAAATATGAACAAGGATGTTGCTAAGTAGATTTCAAGTTCTGTCAACCACAGCCTAGGCTTAAGACATGAGATTTGTCCTCATATCACCAGAATCAAAAATGATACAACTAATAGCTAAGTCAAGTGAAAAGAAAGAATTGACCGTAGAGATAGATTACCTCAATTTTTTGTGCTAATATCAAGGTTGTATTCAGTGAAGTGATTTTAAAAATGCTAGCACCACAACTACCCTATTGTTGTTATACAATAGTCTCTCTTTCTCACTAAATAAATGTCATAGTGCATTGAAAACCAACCTTACAAGTGTATTTATTAGTTGATTATGGTCCAGTGTTCCCTGAGCTATTTCCTATGTGTGATTAGAGGAAATTCAAGTTCATAGCGTGATAAAAATCTACTCTCCCTCTCCCCCCACCCAACTTACAATGTCTAAGGTCAATGAATAAGAAAACACACTATCTAAACATTCTTGTAACATTCGAATATGCTTCACTTTTCCATGAAGTTAGGTCCTGGGGATATCATCAAGCCTAGTGATAAAACTGAAAGAATATCGAATCACTATCACCCGGCAATCAACTTCAAAATGGAAGAGGAGAAAAATCACAGCATCCCATTTCTTGATGTTTTGTTGGTAAGAAGGTCAGATGGAACCCTGAAGCGAACTGTTTATAGAAAGCCAACATCAGCACTTCTTTAGTGCTGTACCCCTCCTATACAAAAGGAACCTAGTGAAATGCTTAGCATACCCTACCTCAGCTATTTGTTCAGAGGATGCTATAAAGGAAGAGTGCCCCGACATCCGTGATCTGCTTAGTAGGAACTAAGCACATGAATATTACGAGGGTTAAGACAACAAACCACCAGTTTCTAAGAAGCAAATCTTCTTGAAGCTGGAATTTAAGAGTGACACTGCCAGTGAGATCATCACACAATGCATAAAAACAGTCTTGTATAAAGCATTTCCAGCCACCAAATTATGTTCCGCCTTCTACAACCGCCCGATTCTAGGTGCAATAAATAAAGACAAACTGCCTGATTCTGCCAATTCCATGTGCATTCATCAATTCAACTGCTCCTACGGAACTAGTTACATTGGGTGTACAATGAGGCAGTTCCATTGTCGAATTTTTGAGCACCACCCATCATGGTTGAACAAGGGACAAATTAGAACCATAAAGAACTCTATACTTGCACACTTAGTTGACACATGATATCAAGTGGTTACTAGAAAAGCTTTCAAAATCATTCATCAGATTCTAATTAATTCACCACATGGATTACGCACTCGATTACTTCACATAGCTGAGGGGATTACAATCAACCTTCATAAATCTAATCTTTGTATCCAGAAGAAGTTTGTTCGACCACTTTCATTACTGTGGCCGACAACATGACGTAACTTCTAGGTTTACTTTTATACCAGTATAATTGTTTTTATATGATACCGTCGTTGATTGGACCGAATTGATCGGTCTCTATTGGCAAATGGGCTCCTGTGCGGATGCTTAGATATCGCCTGCGTTCTAATTGTATTAATGATGGATCGTGGCTAGCAGTGGAATCCAGGATGCGCATTTCGTCCTATTTACGACTCATCATCTTGATGTACCTGCTTCCCAGTGAGTGATGTTGTTCCCACCGTCGCACAAGAAGTGGCTATCGTGGCCCGGTGATGTAGTGGATAACGCCCTGGTATTTGAAGCGATCGCTTCCGAGTCCGAATCCCGGTGGGAACAACATCACTCACTGGGAAGCAGGTACATCCAGCTGACGAGTCCCAAATAGGACGAAATGGACATCCTGGATTCCATTGATAGCCATAATCCATCATTAATTACTTTGTATACCTCGTCCCCTCCTTATTATTACGTAATCGCTTATTGTGGATGACTGAACACTTATTAAAGTCACTCCATTTACCAAAGAAAAAATTGTTTCGTATTTCCAATTTTAGTAACTCTATTGACGATTTACATTATTGTTTCTAAAACATCAACACGTGATTGGTAATTTGAATAAATTGTAAAACTATGCATATTAGTGTAGAGCCAAAGATGAAGAGCATCATTGAAAAGGAATATATTTCTTCGGTCAGACAGTCTTGTTTCTAAATGTCTAAATAGAAATATTCAATGTAAATTTTGAGGGAGCTGTGGAGATTTGGAATTATTTCAAGTTGTTATTCATCGTAGACTGACATCAGTTGGAGGAACAAAGGAAGCCTGGGAGCACTGGACAGCTGTTTCGTCCAACTAGTATGGGAATCCTCAGCAGCGCGCACCCACGACCCCACCAGCAGGGACCGAACCCACGACCTTCAGGTTCTGTGGCCAGCGCCTTACCATTGAGCCACTGGGTCAGAATCCAATGCTCCATATTTCCAACTTCTGTTAGCTCACGATATATAGCGCAACCGCCACCCAATGTCAACGCTGAGTATCTGTCCTCATGGCCATCAGGCTTTGACTCCACCGGTCACGACTTCTCATTGGAACTTCGGGAATACTTCTCGAAGCTAGTCACCAATGAGCACCAGGAGTCCCATACTAGGACGAAACAGCTTGCCAGTGCTCCCAGGTTTCCTTTGTTCCTCCAACTGATGTCAGTCTACGATGAATAACAACTTGAAATATTCAATGTATTGAAATCTTTTCTTGCTTGACTAGAGAACTTTGAGATTAGTCAGTGTCTACTAAACAAATAACTAGACATCATAACAACAAGTTCCTCACTCTGACACACACACACACACACACACACACACACACACACACAATGGAAAGTCTGAAATACAAACAGAGAACAATATCTCAAGTGAATTGTAATCCAATAAAATAAATCATCATAGTTACCTGGTCGGATAAGATAGCTAGAATAAACAAGCCAAATAGACAGGATATTGCCACAAGAACAATTGTATGAGCTCTGAAAATAGTATACATACAAAAGAAGTGTTACTAATTTCCAGGTAAGATATTGTAAGTGTTTCATGGTATGAATAAAAGAAAGTCAAGACAAAGTCCTATCAATTGTATACATCGTACATTAATGGAATATATAGAAGGCAAAGAGTATTTGAAATGGTCAAATAAAATCACTTACAATATCCTAATCACAGTTTAACACTCTAACTATGCACAACTAATCATTCTTATAACAGATTAAAATGAATAATGATAAAGTCTGAAGGTTTATGAATTGATTTTAGGTTGGATTGAACCCAGAATCCTTGGCGGGGGTCATGGGTGTGCACTGTTGAGGAGTCCCATACTAGGACGAAACAACTGTCCAATGTTCCTTCAACTGATGTCAGTTCATGATGAATTCCAACCTAAAATGATAGAGTATACTCGATTGATTTCTGCTACATGGACGATTTCATACTCCTTCACATTGTATTTTGTGTTAGGAATATAATATGCAAACAGATAACAATCAATTGTAAGTTGGTATTCATTAGTTGGAGAACTACTGAAAACCTGGGAGCACTGGATAGGAGCTGTTTCGTCCAACCGTGAGGCTCCTCAACAGTGTGCGCCCATGACCATCATCCTACCTTGAAATCAATAAAAATCTCCGAAAACCTCCCAACTGAATTACTGTTCAGCACTTATTTATCACATGCTCCAAGATGAATTTTCCTACGTTTTAGTGAAAAGCTGCAACTGATGGGATTGACCAAGTAGGATATGGGTCAGTGGCCGTTGAAATTTCTGCATAGATGCATAAAGCCCGACTGGCTTTCGCTAATTTACGCCACCTACGGTGCCACCACGATATCTGATGGTCTATTAATGGTCGCTCGCTCTGCTCTACTGTATAACCGCAAAACATAGACATAAAAGGTAGAAGACATGAGACGGCTTCAGGTGTTTGGTCACCCTTGTCTTCATGGTGTCATCATGTGAGTAACGCATAAGTCAGGTGTAGAGTTTTAGGGAGAAGAGGCAAATCAGTTGACATGGTTGTGGGATGGCTGGTTGAGACATGTTACGCATGTCTAGTCACAGATTGGCTTGTCACACAATGTTTGCAGAAGTAGATTTACGCTAGTAAAAGGCCTGAGACGACCAGACTAAAACATAGCATCAATATATAAAGTGTTTGACTGTTGGTTTGAGCTATGTGGAGCGATGCAGATTAGCCGGCTGGGGTCTGCGGGAAAAGAGCAACCATTGGTTGGAAACCGACTCTAGGTGGTGATATGGATGAGAACCGATGTCAGTGGCGCAAATGTACCTCCCCCCCCCACACACACACACACATTATCCTCATCTTAACGCTTTACCAAATCTCACCATTTTCTCATTCTTCATCTTTCAGTTTACTGCCTTTTTACTTGATGTACTGATATCAAGTGTGTCGGTAACTCGGACTGTTACGCAGTAATGCCTGGTCATATGTTGACTTGGATGGATGGATGATCTCAGCCCATAAGGAATATCAATAAATTCCTACAAACCTACAAATTAATTTAGTGTTCAATAAGAATTAGTTAATTGTTTCGAAATGCGATGTCTCTTGAAGTGTCACAATGACAAGCTATGACCAGTGGGGTTAAAACCTAATAGGAATAAAGTGAATATAGAGAAAAAAGGTATCTATATATATATATAACAACTTACACAACAACAACATCTGTATTAGGAACATCTTCTTTAAGACTGGCTGATATCATTGCACGACATATAAGAACAAGTATTAGAGCGTATAAACAAAGGACACCTGTAGATTTGTAGAAAAAGAAAAAGAAGAGAATTATCATAGAATATTGCACACAATTGAATAGCATCTACACACAAAGTTATGAATTGTGAATAAAGTACAAACTAACTCTGTCTCTATCTATCACACACACCTTATGAAGGCATTGAAGGTGACAATGTCCAAATTTGATGCAAGCCAACCTGGTAAAGGTGTTCATTTATGAAGGGAGGGGGGTGTTGACTGGGCTCAGAAATGAAGTAATTGGAACCGGAAGATAACCTTATGCTTTCTCCAGTTTTACAAGCAACACTTGTCAGTTTTCTTTTGATTTATCATTTAGAATCATTGAATCATAAACATTTTACTCATTTCAGTTAATTATGAATGGTTTAATTGAGTTTCAGCGCTTTTAATTTTCTATATGATGACGCTATATGTCAAGTAATTCACAATGGGAAGCTCAGTGATGTCTTTCAAGTGAAGACAGGAGTAAGACAATGTTGCTGCCTACTATCACCCATGATCTTCCTGAGTGTGGTGGACTGGATCATGCAACAAGCCGTGAGGAGCGAGAAGAGGAGCATACGCTGGACTGATGAAAATAGCCTAGAAGATTTGGATTTCGCCAATAATGATTTATGTCTAACGTCGCACAAACTCGAAGATCTACAGGCGAAAACTAACAAGTTGACAGAAAAAGCAGCAAAGACGGGACTTAAAGTGAGTGTAGAGAAGACGGAGGTGATGAAGATACAAAACCAACAACAGCATGAACAACAAGCACCAATCAATATGAACGGGAGAAACCTAAAGTAAGTAGTCTCTTTCACCTACCCACCTACCTAGGCAGCATCGTTTCAACCACAGGCGGCACAGACGAGGACGTCAAAACTAGGATCGGAAAGATAGCAAGACAGGCTTTCACGAATCCAAAATCGGTGTGGAGATCGACTGCACTCAACATAAAGCGTGAACGAGACCCGGATTTTCAACCCCAACGTCAAGTCAGTGCTTCTATATGGTTCATAGACTAGGCGAGTCACGAAAAGCACTTCCAACAAACTACAGACATTCATCAATAGCTGTCTGCGCAAGCTCGATACTGTAGATCAGATTGCCAGAAAGAATAGGCAACAAGGAACTCTGGGAATGAACCAACCAACAACCCATCGTCCAATAAATATGAAGAAGAAAGTGGAGATGGATTGGATTGGACATACACTGAGAAGACCATTCAGGGACATCACGCGTCAGGCCCTCGAGTGAAACCCAAAGGGTAAACGACGAGTTGGGCATCGCAGCTGAGGGTGACATGGAGGAGATCGTGCGAGGAAGAAATGAAAGCTTGTAGGCAGTCGTGGTGCCAGGTCCAAAAGACTGAAGAGAACAGAGTGGAATGGAGGCGCGCTACTGAAGCCCTATGTTCCATTAGGAACCCAAGGGAAAAACAATAAATAATAATTTTCCAAGTTTTAAATTAAATTATCAAGGAGATTAAAAGTAGTGCAACAAAGAGGCTACTATCGCTTATCTTCTTTTTAATCAAGCATAAACTATATCTGTATCAAATTATACTATGTACTATCCCTGAAGGTTATTTAAAAGTGACCCTTGTTAGACGACTTTAGCGCCTCGGTGCTGTGTGAAGTATGGGAACATGAAAAGATGCACTTCTATGCGAGGTTGTACCTTGATTTTGTCTACCTGTCTGTCTGACATCAGCGCCTACAACTGACATGTAAAATCGTGACACAAGTGATTATTCAACATGCAAAATGACGTATCATTATGTTCGTTGACATCATACACCTTGCAACTACCCAATATTTATCGATTTTGACCGAATCAGCCAACTACAATGGGTACAATTGCTGTTGTGTGAAAGTCTAGATAATGTTATTAATTTCATTCCACTAGTAATGTTGGATGATAACTAGCATGGGGATCTACTGAGTGCCTTTCAGCCTATTCCAGACTCTTTGGAAAGTATAGCTACACACTCAATGAGGGTGATGTGGAAAACTCCAAGATTATGAATTGTTAAAGTAAAGGACTTTTATACGTAGGCATCATCATCGACAAACACAGAGACAAAATCAATGTAGAACCTCACCCACAAGTGCATCGCCTCAAGTTCCCACACTTCACAGTAGTATACTAAAAACACGTGGATACAATAAGAGTGATATTTAACTAGACAAAGTTGTGTGAGACAATAAATAATCTGAAGATAACGGTCAGTGCGAATGTTCAAGCTTTAGAAGACGTCAAGGAGTGAATACGTTTGTACCACTGTGACCAATTCTCAGCCATTTCACTAGGACTCACCAACTATTGGCTCCTACAGTCTCAGGGATCCCAGTCAGGTAGTCTACACCATCCCATATGACTCAGACAAAAGACTAGTGCCACGTGGTAGTGCAACCAACCTGAATTCTCTTCCAATCTAATCTAACTTCTAAAATTGTATATCGAGGTAGGAGGTGGCTAGGTGTACACAACACATATCTAAGTCACCGCAGTCGCTGAAGATTCAAAACTTCCCTTTCTTGCCTAGGACGCTTCGCCTGACCTCGACATTGCGAATATGGTGATCCCAACATACCAGATAAATGCTACAAAGACACCTGTAGTCAAAAACTTGTAATCTCACTATATCTTCTACTTTCAACGGCAATGTTTCATAGCTATATAACAGGAGAGAAACGGCTACAGTACATTATACTCATCCTTCAACATCTATTGAATGATTAGTGAAAATCAAAGGAATCAGAACAAGTATTTCATATCCCTTCTGCTATAAAACTGGTCTACCATAGAGGAACCAATTTTGTGTTATCTATTCATCAGTGCTAACAGAATTCTGTCTATCATTTTGTAATATGATCATCAAGCTACGCAGTTCATCATCGCGATGCACTTTGGCGCATGTTAATTGGATGGATGCAATCGTTTGAAAACTCTCCATCTAGGTTTCTTGCTTGTTCCCAATTGACAACAAGGGAACTGATGTCCTCTCTGAGGTTCAAACCCACGTCGCACAGTGTTGCAATCAGAGATGTTACCACTGAGATATTCAGGTCGCGATTGACCTTCTGGATTAGGTACGTTGATTGGTCACTGGAGGATAATCAACTTCATGTTGTATAGTCTTAATTGCTGATTTAATTCTACCCATCATTATGTAATGTGGTCACCAAGCTACAAGGTTCATCATCATTAGTTTCCATCAAAACTGATGTAAACAGCAGGCTAAACACATTAGATACTATTCAATTAAACTTTACCTACTTTAGAACCCTAGACTAACACATAGTAATTAAGATATACTTTTCTTAACTGTTCAAAAGAGTTGATTAATTCTTGAAATCACAATTATAGAATTATCGAAACCTGAGTGGAAAAACACTGGAACTCTGTGGAAGAGATGTGGAAGGAAACCTGCATAACCGTGTTAGGAGGGAAGACGAAGTAAGACAAGGAGTACATCTCCACGGGCACATGGAAGCTGATAGAGTAGGGAGAGGAAGATGGTGAAGCAGAAGATGAACCAGTGAAGTGTAATGTAGGGATGAACAACGAAAACAGGAACAGAATAAGACCTATAAAACACTACACTGAACAAAGAAGCGAAGAAGAGTACGCGGAAAGACAAATGACACTTCTACGACACACTTGTAAGTAAAGCAGAATAGGCTGCAGGTAGGAGAGACCTGACAACATTATATCAAATAACTAAGTTACTATCTAGGAAGAGATCAACGCAGACGAAACCAATGAAAGATAGTGAAGGAAACTTAGTTATCATCAAACAGGAGAAACACAAGAAACGATGGGCTGACCACTTCAAAAAACTCTTGAATTGACCACCACCACCACCACCTGCAACTCGTCCAGAAATAACACCAGAAACTGCAGAATTACTGCTGAACACAAGCCCTCGGGCAAAACCCGAAGTCGTGAACGCCATAAAGTTACTGAAAGCCAGGAAAGCAGCAGGATCAGATGGAATTCCTCCAGAAGCACTGAAAACAGACGCAGAAACAACAGCGGACATGCTCACACCACTTCCGTTGAAAATTGTTTGGAAGGAAAGGTATCCGCAGATTGGAAGAAGGGCTACCTTGTCAAACTCCCAAAGAAGGGTGACCTAAGTCTGCAAGAACTGGCGCATCCCAAGCAAAATATTAAGCTACATCACCCTGGAGAGACTAATAAATGCTCTGCATTCAAAATCACAACCGGAACAAGCTGGCTGACTTCAGGAAGAACAAATCATGTGAGGATCAAATTGCAACACTGTATCATCATAGAACAGAGTATAGAATGGCAGTCAACTTTATCGACTCTGAAAAGTCCTTCGATCGGGGCGTCGACCGAGTAATTTAAAAACCACTTCTACAATACAGTTTTAGTGCCACAAACATTTGTCAATCTCATTCAACAGCTATATGCTATATGACGCTGCAATGGAAATCTCAATGATGCTTTTCAAGTGAAGAAAGGAGTAGGACAAGGTTGCCGCCTACTATCACAGATCATCTTCCTGACTGTGGTTGAATGGACTGGACTAGACCATGCAATAAACTGTGAGGAGCGAGAAGAGGGGCATACGCTGACTGAACCGATGAAAAGACTCTAGAAGATCTTGATTTCGCCGATGATGATTTATGTCTAATGTCGCACAAACTCGAAGATGTACAGGCGGAAACTAACAAGTTGACAAAAGAGATGAGGCGAGGCAGCAAAGATGGGACTTCCCTTCAGATGAACGTAGAGAAGACAGATGTGATGAAGATACCCAACCAACAACACCAGCAACAATAGGCACCAATCAATGGAAGAAATCTAAACGAAGTTGTCTCTTTCACATATCTACACAGGCAGCATCGTTTCAACTACAGGCGGCACAAGCACACATAAGAATACCAAAACCAGGATCGGAAAGAGCGAAATAGACCTTCATCAATCTGAAATCAGCGTGGAGATCTACTACACTGCACTCAGCATAAACAACAAGATCCGGATTTTCAACACTAAGTCAGTCAAGTAAGTCAGTGCTTTTATGTGATGGTTGAGAGGCTTGGCGCATCACGAAAGCCCTTCCAACAAACCAGAGACATTCATCAACAGCTTCAGCCTACACTCGATACTGAAAATCAGATGGCCAGAAGGAATCAGTAAGGAGGAACTCTGGCTGGCAACGAACCAAACAACGAAGCAAGAATGTATCACCCAACAAATATGCAGCAGAAGAAAGTGAGATGGATTGGATTGGACATAGACTGAGAAGACTGTCTGGGGACATCACGCTCCAAGCCAGGCCCTCGAATGGAACCCAAATGGGAAGGACGAGTTGGGTATCCAAGGATGATATGGAGGAAATGGTGTGAGGAAGAAATGAAAGCTTGTGGCCAGTTGTGGAGCCAGGTTGAAAAGACTGCCGAGAAGAGAGTGAAATAGAAACGTGTTACTGAAGCCCCTATGTTCCACTAGGAACCCAAAGGACAAATAACAATATAATAATGAATAACTGGTTCGTTTCTAGTTCAGTGACTCTTTAGGAGTCCAATGGTGGAGAATATTTGTAGTTCAGGTGGATGGTCTTGGTTGTATTGTGTTCTCTGAGCTGGGTTGTTTAATCGTGAAGCTTTCATCGTCATTCTAGACGACATCATCAGCACTAACTTCAGTATGAAGTGAGCTGTCAATATCACTCTGTGAGTGATATCAAAATTATCAGAAATCACGACAAGATTACTGAAACCAATTGGAATTGATGTGGCGCCTCATAAAACAACAAATTCCCTTCAAACACTATTATGCAGAACAAAGGATGCAACAACCAGAAAAGATAAACCGAATATCATTTATAAAATCAACTGCAGTAACTGTAGTCAACACACCACATTGGACAAAGTGATCGCCTACCTTCGCCTTCGTCTACATGAACACCAAGTAGCTAATAAGCATCACACACGACATTTCATCCCTCGTCGCTAAATCCACATGGATAACAACTGTAGACATGAATTCAATTTTGACAATGCAAAAATCATGGTAATTAGAGACAGTAGGTGGAGAAGAAGATGGATAAATCTGTAATAATAGTAACAATAATAATAATAATAATAATAATGGCCATATTCTTCTCCCCCTACTATCTCTAACTACTGTCAACAATTTACCATTTTACGTAACAGTTCATTTTTGCTCTTTAGTTATCATTATACAAAATATCAATTATGTAAGGACGTGTTCACAAAATCTTTCTACGATAATTAGTCTTTGCTTTAGTTAACTGTCTTAATTACCTGATCAATAATCACCTTCTTGATACTTTGAGATTGATAACCTTTCATTGAACAACTCTCACCATTAGATTAGTATGTAATTTTACGGTTTGAAAATGCTACATATATTAGTGTAGAGCCATTGATGAAGAACTAATTGAAAAGAAATATGTCACAGCTCACATTTTTTTGCAAAAATCATGGACGGGGAAAGGAAATATCAGAGAATTCTTAGAAGCTTGGCATTCACATCAGTCAGTCAGCAATCATTAGATGTCTAGACATGGACTCAATCTATCAACGAATTAGAAAAAGGATAAACGACAGAAAGGTGGGAAATCAAGCAGAGGAACAGCCAAAGGGAAAATCGATACAATCAGTGACACAACAATCAGAGGAAATAACCAATCACAGACCACTTCGTCAAGGTAAGCTACTGGATCACTGACGGAGAGATATTGACAGATCACTGCTTCATACTGAAGACGATGAAGGCTTCTCCACGATTAAACAATCCAGCTCAGAGAATACAATACAACCAAGTCTTTAGCACTATGCATACCTTCAACAGTCTATGTGTACAATTGAACCAAAGATAGTTAGATCTTAAGGTGAGCATGTTATTATTATTATTATTATTATTATTATTAATATTATTCTCTAAACTTTGAATATTTCTCTGATCAACTCTAATTGAAGATCTTTAATCATGAACAAGCACAAATAGTTGTGTCCGCACCTATACACACAAAGCACTACAACTTACCGACATAGATCAGAAATTGAATAAAGAACTTTTGATTACATTCACCGACGCAATTATTGATCCTATCATTGATATTTTTATAATGGAAAAAGAATAGAAAAACACAGAGTGTTGATTGAAAGACACAACAACAATAAGAACAGAGAAAAGAAGCAATTTTCTACCATAAAATCCATTTTACTAAGTCGGTTATATGAACTAAAAGCATAATATTTAGATAGAATCATTAGACTGACATAAGTATGGCATCAATAAACTGTAAAAATAAAAAAAATTATCACGCAAGCGATAATAGTAGATATCGCCAATGTGGTATACACTGATCATAATGATTTAAGGTATGAGAATAGGGTGCTATTTTAATTTCAAGGTCATTTCACTTTCTGATTGACTAGATAATTCCGTAGACTGATGTGAAAATGTAATATCTTGTTGATACAATGAATCTAGGATTAGAATTCCACGTCACTACTAAATTCAGTCTGAATAACCAGCGTAGTGTAGTATTATAAGCTGTCTTATTCAATAAGCATAGCATATAATCCAATAAACAACATTTGTAATCCATTGAGATGTAGTAAAATTAACATACAGACTGATGAGTATCACATTGTTCAAAACACCAGAGAATGATGCATACAATCAAGTGGTTATTGTAAAATTCACCATTCATCTGAATGTGTTTTCCTAGCTTACTTAAGATATTTAAACTGTTCGCCACCTCTTGTGGTACACTCGTCGTCCTCTATCAACATAGGACCAGACATTACTGTGTAACGGTCCAACTTGCCACACATCAGATCAGTCCATCAAGTAAAAAAGAAGTGAAATGAGAGATGAAGAAAATAAAAATTCAGTCAAAATAAAATAAAGTCGTCAAAGAGAGACAGAGAAGGAAAGGAATAATGAGAAAGTGGTGAGACACGATAATGCGTTAAGATGAGGATAATGTGTGTGGGGGATGCATCTGCACCATTGACATCGGTTCTCACCCATATCACCGCCTAGAGTCATTCGCCAACCACTGGTTTCTCTTGTCCCATGGACCCCAGGCAGCTACTCTGCATCACCTCATATGGCTAAAACAAACAGTCAAACACTTCATACATTCGTGCCATGTTTCAATCTGGCCACTTACTTCGGCCAACATTATGTGACGAGGCGATCGGAGACTAGGCATGCATAACACATGTCTCAATCAGCCATCTCAGTTCATCAAGATTCACAAGCGCGTCAAATGATTTACCTCATCTCACTCCCAAAAAATGTTACACCTGACATCTGCGTTACTCACGTGGTGACACCATGGAATACGGCGGTCTATACTACGAAGGCAACGGTGGTCAAACACTTGAAGCCTTCTTATATCTTCCACTTCCAATGGCCATGTTTCACAGCCATACACTAGAAGAGAGCGAACTGCTGTGCAGTACACGCCACCCTTAATAGACAAACGGATATCACGGTGGCGCCATAGGTGGCATAAATTGGCAAAAGCCAGTCGAGCCTTTTGTATTTGTGCAGAGATTTCATCGGCCACTGACCAGTGCACCAGGGCTGATCCTACTTCCCAAGTAAGTGAAGTGGTCAACACACTCAACCACTTCACTGTCTATTGTTAGCCGCGGTGGGGCACCGCTTAAGTGTTCAGAAGACTCTGCATCTCTTCAGCATCTTCACCTAACAGGACAATGTCATGTGCATATTCTAGGTCTAACGAGAATTCTCCTGTGATTAGGTCAACGTCTGTGTAACCTGGTGACGAGAGGGAGACCTCCATAAGAGTATCTCTGATGAAATTGAATAAGAATGGAGACAGTGGACATCCTTGACAGACACCACTCGATGAGCGTAGCTCCCTGGACAACTCACCATAGGCTCTAACATGCCCTCAAGTGTTCGAGTAGAGAGGCTTCAATAAGATGATGTACTCACTCGGTACGCCTTTCGGTGAGAGACATTGTCATAAAACTTCTCTATCAACGTAGTCGAATGGTGCTGCTTTCAGGTCGAGAAATACAGCTATTGTCAGGCGTCTGTAAGCGTGCCTATGTTCCTGGACCTGGCGCAGTGTGAATATTTGGTCGATACACCCACGGCCAGGTCTAAAGCCTGCTTGGTTTTCTTGGGCTTGGTGTTCCCGAGCTCCACTCAGGCGTCGGAGAATTATACAACCTAGAATCTTAGACATTATGTTCTTCAGGCTGATTCCTCTGTGGTTATCACAAGAGGACTTCTCGCCTTTCTTGAAGACTGGGATAATCAGTGACTTAGACCAGTCAGAGGGGATCGTATTTGATTCCCAGATACTGGTTAACACTTCCGTTAACCTGACTAAGAGCACCTCACCACCATTCTTGTATACCTCAGCAGGTAGTCCATCTGGTCCTGCTGCCCTTCCTGGTATCAGGTTACCAACAGCTTTGTCGACTTCTGAAAGTGTTGGGGGGTGGGGTGGTGGTGCTATCTCTATGTTCTATTCAGGATTCGACTGGGTAGCAGGCAACGCAATGGTGGCTGGAGGCCAGTTAGGCTGTTCGTCGAAGTGTTCTGCCAATCGTTCCAGTCGTCTCCTCTGCGAGTGAATCGTAGACCTGTCCTTCTTCGCTATGGTTTTTTTCCCCCAGTTTCCTTAATAAGTCTAAATAACTGTCTACTGTTACCAATTGCCGCTGCCTTTTCCATCTCTTTAGCCTTCACTGCCCACCACTGTTCACGATCGTTGCGTAGACTTTTTCTCAGTCTACCCTTAAGTTGCGCTCGCTCTTCATTGTACTCAGAGCCTGCGGGGATGCGTTCACGTGGATCCATTAGTTCGGAAGAAGCTGCTGATATCCACTGGCTCTTTTTAGCCACTATTTTGGAGTCGGTTACAGTCTTCAGTGCTGCTTTCATACTAGACTGAATATGGCACCAAGCTTCTTTGGATAGTTTATAGTCTTGTTTTGATAACTGCCTAGCCAACTTCTCACTGAACACGGCTTTGATGCTTCCGTTGTCCAGCAGCACTCGTAGTGGTTTTGTTGCCGAATTTTTCTTATGTCCATTGAGACACAGGCATATGGTACACTAAAACCAACTCAAATAGGAGGGAAACAAGTAAGTGGAAACTGTGACACTATTATTGCAAACCAAAGAACAGTAAATAATGTTGAATCACTGTGTGATATGTATACATAATAAAAGAACTAACATGAAATTTTCAGTCCCCTACAATGCTTCAATTCTACTCTTTAGATAAATTAAGACCGAGCATTGTATTAGCCTATGCAGTTCTTGGCCGTCAACCTGAATCATATAGCAAAAGGTGCAAGCCATCTAGTTACCATGTTACTAATCATCATTTACAACAGACTCTCAATAAGATGGTTCGAAACCGATTCTACAATCAGTAGTGAATCAAACGTCTTCACACTTTAACATCTTCGAAATTGTGATGACTTTATTAACCTATATATCACTCAACTTGTCTTTACATATTCACTTTTAAAGTATCATTCTATTCATTTTGATTTTTATTTTGCTTCGATGTCGGGAATTATGGCAGCTTTGACAGATATATTTTTGTACAAGAAACCTATATTCATCTTTTGTCTTGACAACAAGCTGCTCAAGTTTGAGTTCATATTACTGACTTAGTTACTTCGCACAGTTTTGCCGATGGATTAAATACCAAGGTGAAAAGTGGACTATTCGACTGGATTTTAAGTTGACAGTCACTTGGATGCTGTTCCACCAAACAGAACACCTACTGACTGTAGTCCAGATGAACTTGAGGATAAGTTTGACCCAAAACTTCTCTAGCCTTCTTCTTGAAGCTAAACGTTCAGATTCGGTTATCGTAGCATAGATAGGTAGACTAAGTGGAAGAGAAAGGTACTTAAGCGGCACTTTCAGAATTCTAGCCAAAAAAAACAACAACAGATAATAGCGATTGTCTACTACAACTGATCTCAGACAATCATTTATTTCTTCCTGGTATGAACTTCAAACATAGAGAAAGACAATGCCAAACGTATCGTCAATCAAACTTAACGGTAGACACAGATTGACCATAACGCTTTCAGTTATCGCTGGAAAGGGTCAGTGGAAGACTGCTCCATCATCCATCCATCCAGATCAACCTAGGACCAGGCATTACTGCGTAACGGTCCAACTTGCCACACCTCATATCAGTACATCAAGTAAAAAGACAGTGAGGTGTGAGACGAAGATAAGAGGATGCAGTCAGAAGAAATATAAAGTACGAAAAGAGAGAGAGAAACGAAGAGTGAGAAAGTGGTGAGATTCGGTATAGCGCCGTTAAGATGACGATAATGTATGTATACATCTGCGCCACTCACATCCACTCTGAACCATATCACCTAGAGTCTCCAACCACTGGTTCCTCTTGTTCCGCGGACCCCAACCACCTAGTCTGCATCGCCCAACATGGCTCAAACCAACAGTCAGAGACTTCATACATTGTTGCCATATTTTAGTCTGGCCACCTCAAGCCTTTTTCCAGCCTGGACCTACTTCGGCCAACATTATGTGACGAGGCGATCGGTGACTAGGCATACGTAACAAGTGTCCCAACCAGCCATCTCTGTCGATGAAAGTTCGCAACTTCGTCAACCGACTTACCTCTTCTTCCTAAAACTCTACTCCTGACTTCTGCGTTACTCAAACCATGACACCACGGAATATGGCCTATACTAGCAGGGTAACGGTGGTCAAACACTTGAAGCCTTCTTATATCTTCCACTTTCAATGGCCATGTTTCACAGCCATACAGTAGAAGAGAGCGGACTGCTGTGCAGTATACGCGACCCTTAATAGACAAACGGATATCACGGCGGTACCCCTCTACACTAAATATGGCATCAGTGCACGAAACGTTTGACTGATGGCCAAAGTCATGTAGGGAAATGCACACCTCCTGGTCGATACCCACGTAATAACAGAAGTCTGGTTATAGACTCCAGGTGATATATCGCTCACAATCGATCTTAGTGACGCAGATATATTAGTACATTATGCTCATCTTAATTGTCATTGCGAATTTCAGTATTTTCTTATTTCTCCTTTCTCCTTTTCGATGACTTTCTATCACGTATGGCTGCTTTCCTCACCACTGCTTTGTCGTTGATCTTAGCGGACCCTTACCTGATTTGCTGACATATGTGAGGTGTGATATATTGAACAGATATGCAGTAATACCCAGTCTTATTGCTTTAGTTTTTTTTCCAGATGTTATTTGATATAGTGTAACTCAACGCGATGCATGTTTATGCACTAGGATATGAGGTGCACTTGTTTTGTGAGGGCTTAGTATACTATCCAGTTGTCTAGGCGGAAGTAGATGGAGCAGGTTTCGAACCGAAGACTCTCTGCTTGAAAGTCAAATACATAAGCCAGTAAGTCACATCACTTTTTTAAATGTTTCATAAACGAACAGATAATCCCCTAAAATATAAAGGACCAGAAAGTACCATTCGCTTACGGCTTGAGTATACCAGCTACTCAACTCTCTCTTATCTATCACAATTCACTTCGTGTTACCGAACGAAACAAAAAGGAATAACGGTAACATAATAGTCAATCAACAGTGATCATTTCATCCAAATAATGAAAAAAATAAAATAAAATGCATACTAATTAACTGACTAACCATGGACAGTGATGATCCATTCTTCTAACACATCGTCGACAAATGCGACAATGATGCGCTCGTGGCGGTCGATGTATGCCGCATTTATTACATGTAGTCCATCCTTCGGGTTTCTGAAAAATGAAGATTCAAAGTTGAGGGAGAGGAGGATAAATTATATCGATCACGGAAAACAACAATGCAGACTCGTATCAAATGAAACTGACTACTACACAGAAATCAATAAAATCTAAGTGTACTATTGCATACTTTCAAGGCTTGAATATGATTAGCTGATTTCATACTTTATTAATTGACATGTATGAGATACATCAACAAACTAAGCTTTAAGTCAAGTATAACCACAGTTACAAAAAAGGATCTACTATAATATATGGATGTATCTGTATAAGTGAAATCGATTCTAAAGTATATCATTTACAGTCTCCAACATACTAATTCCCGTTAACATGTGGAGTCCACTGTGAAGCCTACATTTCCCCCACATGATTCACATCAACAGTCAAAAACTTGATGGATTAATGTCATACTTCAGATTGGTGGTCACCTTCAATCTTTCTCCAGCCTAAATCTACTTTAGTGAACATTGTGCAACACGGCAGACAATCACTGAACATGCGTAAGACATGTCGAAATATCTTATCTTAGTGACGAGAAACCATGAAAAACGTATCCAACAAACATTATCCCAGTTAGTACAGCATTATTATTATTATCACCATCTTCAAAATACACACAAACATTCACTTCAGACAGACAAATCAACGTAGAACTTAACACAGAAGTGTATCACATTTTCTTGTCTCAAGTGAAGAAGAGGTGAATACAAAAACAATGATAAGCAGATTGGCAAAAGTGTACGAAAGGAAAGGGAAGAAATACATGAAACTAAGTGGATATATATATTTGAACCATATCCCGAAGACAAACAGACAGAGAAAACCAATGTAGAGTCTCGTAGTACAGAAGTGAATCACTCCAAGTTCCCACAATTTACAGTATCTCATGTAAACAACAAGTGGGTAGAAAAAGATTGATAGCAAAGTACACGAAAGTGTTTGGATTAAAACAGGATTTTTCAAAAATTGAAGATTAGTGGAAATGTCTAGGCTTCAGAAGATGTCAAAGATTGAATACATCTACGCCCTTTGTGACCAATTTTCAACCAGTTCACTAACAGTCGCCAACAACTGATTCCTATCGCTTCGAAGATCTCAACCTCGTAGTTAACATAGGCTTACATGGTTTAGATCAGTCGTCGGAGACCTCGTGGATTAGCGACACGTTTTGGTTTCGTCACTTTGAACCCTCTTCAAACCTAGTCAGACTTCTACAAGTACTGTGCACTAAATTGGGCAGCAGCTCAGCACCCGTAACATCACCTAGATCACCAAAAGTTCACAATCTCACCGATCAGTGATTCTTATCATCGTTTCTTTTAGATTACTGATACCACATCCAGCTAAATTTCTATGTTCGGCTATTCTAACTGACTCTGGCCGGCTAGTTTCACTTATGTACTTGGCATCATCGTCATTTCATTAAATTCGATAGATTAGATTATTTTTCTTAGTTGGTTCTATCGGACTATTAAGCTAGTCAACAAAGCTTATCTCTGAGTGAATTTGTAGGTTTAAATACCATCATAACTAATTCCAGTTTTGTTGAGGTTCCTACGTACAGTTTCTGATATATCTTCCTTCCTTATAGGGTAACACAATGAAGGCTGTGAACTCCTTTCCACTCGTGTTACCGTTATTATTCGTACTCGTGTTACTCTTATTATTTCGTTTCTCATGTGTTCGTAAAATTTCTTAATAAACTGTAGAGGAAAATTATTAACTATTAGTGCTTCTCTAACGTGTTTCAGTTCCTTTTCTAGGTCTTTGCACTGAGTAGTCAGTTTTATAGCTATACCACTTAGACATTTGACTAAACTTGCCTCAACCTACATTGGATGAGATAACCTTAAGTTCAGAAACCGTTGTTTATGAAACTGTTGCTCAGTGGAGATAGAACTAGTGAAGTTATATATATCAGAGGCTACTTACAGTCATTAACATCTTTTATGCTGCTGAGCTTTGTCTATTTTCTTTTTCCAGCTGACCGATTGTTGTTGATTAGACAAAAGATAACTTACCTAAGTTTGGGATTTTTATGTTTATCTACAAGTTCAACTACTCCAGGGGAAAAAAAAACAGTTATACAGGATAGACTACTAGGCAACTTAACAAACGTATTGCAGAGCATCGACCACATTATAGTTGGCAAACCGATAGACAAAATTTATTAAGTTGAATTCATATCTGGTTAATAATGGTCACTTGGTACATAAGATGAAATGTATTCAAGACTACCACAAACCATTTAACTTTTCGAATGGTATTCGAACTCATCTTTTTATGCACAGTGGAGAATTTGAACCACTTTGATTAATTAGAGTGCTTACAACATTATTATGCTATTCTCTTGGTTCTTATCATCATCATCATTACGACTATTCTAGACAACACTATCACTATGAATGTTAACGTTATCTATTTGTCGAGGATTGATAGATCTAACGGTATTATTCATAGTGGACTGACATTAAGTTGCAGAACTATTAAAAATTTGGGGGCACTAGACAGCTGTTTCGTCTTAGTATGGAACTTTTCACCAGTACGCACCGATGACCCCAACAGGAATCGAACACTATCGTTATTATAATCTGCATATTTCAAAATGTTGATACAGGGTTAGAGAGAAATGACTAGTCTGGAGAATGACCAATTAAAATGTACCTCATGTTATCACGTCTAAATTTAGACAGACAAATGATGGATTAGCCAATTAATAGGATTATCTTAAACAGCGAACTATCCATATATCAACTGTATTTTCTTTTGTTTTGGGGTCTTTGGTCTTTCGACCCCAATAGGCGCTTCTACACATCCATCGTATCTTCCCCACTAATTAGTTAGGTCAGAAACTAGCTAGGAATTTGTTGAATGTTGGTGGCTGACGGTCGATATCCATTCATCGTTAGCGGCTATAGCATATAGCAGTTTCCGAAACATAACAGTGGCGATTGAAATGGGATATTGGAAAACAGACTCTTTGAAGTTGGACAATTTCCTCAGACAATGAATGAAAATTATCTATTGAATCATTCCCTACTACGCCAGTTTTAATAGCTCCGCTAGTTGATGGCATCGCCAATAGGCATCACCGAATTTCACCACAACCCTGATGCCAATGAGACTTTCGATACTTGGTTCAGGCGTTACGAAGACTACTTCGAAGTGGATTTTGCTGGCCAAGATGATTTCTAGAAGGTATATCTTCTACTTCGAAAGCTTGCTCCACATGAGCTCAATCAATACTGCAACATGGTTTTGCCGCAGAACCTACGTAATCGCACTTCCGACGCCACAGTTCAGACACTGAATGACAAGTCTGCAGAATATCAATCACTGGGTAACCTGCAACGTGATACGAGGTTAGCCCAGTCCGGACATCAGGGTGGTTTTGAAGTACATACAGTCCGCCAGACATCCCATTCCTCTGTATCGCCCTCTGGTCACATACACCCCGGCCTTATCTCGCCGGTTCATCGACCCAACAATTCATGAGATACCAACCGAACCTCAAAGAAGACACTCTCATCGCCTTTCTGGCATTGTGGTCCCCGGTATTTTGTTTCTAAACGTCCATCGCGTCTTCTCCATTGATTAGTCTGGTCAGGAATCAACTGAGAATTGAACGTTGGTGGCTGACACTCGATTTCCGTTCATCGTTAGTGGCCATAGCATATAGCAGTTTCGAAATCATAACAAACATTCATATGAATACATATGTGTACTTAGCTATGTTCGAGTATAGCCTAAAGAAGATCTCATTTAAAACGATATAGTTTGCTTTTGTATTTCATTCCAATTTACATAATTAGGGCTTCCGGCATTTTTAATCACAGCCCTCTGTATTCAGCTGTCAACTCGTGACAGCTTATTTCTCGATGTTTAAAACTCTAAATGAATCCTATCTTATGTGTGTATGAATTAATTACAGGAATTCTAATTGGCTACTGGTAGTTTGTCATAGATAGCCATATCTGACTGATAGGTTCATAACAGGATAATGAACTTGTTAGGGATGCCGATATCCCTAATATTCCATACCTATCAATTGTATTTTTGAACTGTAATTATTCGTGTTCTTTTTACCGTACGTAGTTTACACTTCATATAACCCGCCAGTGTTCTGATTGGTTCATATCTCTTTTAATGTACTAATTATCATCGCTTGACTGTGTGAGACAGCCGTAGTTTGGCAGACTAGCATTAATACTGGGTGGTGAAGGCGATCGCTGGTTCGAGTCCGGCCACGGTCCAGATTTTCATCTCACCTTTAATCATTACCCGGTATAAGTACTAGTTATGTCTTGTTTATCAAGGTCATTATAATTACTATATATAGTGTGCCCCTTTTCTTATAAATGTTTTCAGTTCGATCACCAGTTTTTTGGTTTCTCTTGCGAATCACTCGGGTTGAAGCCTATCAACCTTCGATTACCGATCACTATGTATTATCGTTCGTCCTCACAACTCCGTTTCTTAACAGAGCTACGTCATATAACCGAAAATAAAGGGCTGGTTATGCCGATTGACAGTCCAGTAATCTATCGCAGTTCATACAGCCTCCTAATCAGACATTGAGTAAGCGCTTATTAATGATCAGTGATAGTTGTTGTTTCATACTTGTAACTCACTGTTGTTATACAGTGTTGGATAGCTCGACCTCTGTTGGAAGATGGGCTCTTATGTGGATCCCTCGATACTTTTGGATATTCATGATGTTATGTTCATCTTGGTGGTTAGCAGTGGAATCCAAGGTGCGCGTTTTTTTTCCTTTTTGGAACTCGTCAGCTGGATGACGAGGCCACTCCAATGGCCTAGTGGACAACGCTTCGTCGCTGAAAGCTATGGGCACTTGGGTTCGAGTCTCGGTAGGGACAACACCAATCCGCACAGAAGTGATGGTACATCCAGCTGACGAGCCCCAAGTAGGAAGAAACGCGAGTCCTGAATTCCACTGAGAGTCTCCAAGATGAATACAACACCAATGGTGGTAC